ACTGTTAATAACAGGGTGCCCCGCCTCAGCTACACCAGGCACTACACAATGTCCACAGCAACAGGGAGGCTGCAGAGTCCCTCAGGAGCTCCCCACTCCCTTGAAGGGCACGGGGGAAATACAGAACGTGCCATCAAGGTCTTCCTCTGCAGCTGCTGGGAGCAGCGAGCAGCCCCCGTGCGAGGCTGGGGAGGATGAGGAGCGCTGTGAGAAGCGCTGTTTTCAGTCGGCCCGCGGTGCCTTTACAGAGCTCTTCCCTGGGCGTCGTGGTGCTCTGTCCCCGCAGGGCCGCCAGAAGCGATCCTGCCCTCACAGCACTGTGGGGCTGACGGGGCTCGGGGGCACATCGATCTGAGCCCTGAGCCCTCACGGAGCTGGGCACGGAAGAGCCAGCGCCAGAGCAGCTGGTGTCACCGAGCAGGAGGTGCTGCAGACACTGGCGGTGTTCCGGGCTCCCTCCGTCAGGCACAGCACCCTCAGGAAGCGGCGGCCGCCCCCGGGACCCCAATCGGGGCACAGCCCGAGAGCCCACACCGCCTCACCACAGCTCATCGCGCTGTTCTCCCATTGGCTGTTGTCTCTGTCAGTCACCATAAGTCCCGCCTCTCTGCCCATCTCCAGCCTCAGGATTGGCCGTCCTTCAAGCGGCGCCTGAAGCCCCCTGGGCGCCGCCATGTTGGGGGCCGCTGCCCGGCGGAGGGGCGGTGCGGCGCCGGGCTGTCGCGCATGCGCGGGCCGGGCAGGGCCGCCGCCCCGGGAGCGCGCGGCCGCCTCGGGAGCGCGCCCGGCCCAAGGATGCGCCAGGCGGGACAACCCCGGTGGCCCGGCCGGGCACAGGTGAGGGCGGCTCGGACCCCTCGAGCCCCCCGGGCTCCTCCGCTGTCCCGGGGCCGCTGGGCGGCGAGGGGAGCGCGCTCCTGCCAGAGGGCGCCGGGGCCGCGAGCGGCTGGGGAGGGGCCGGGGGTACCAACTCCGTGTGGGCCGGTGAGGTGAGGCGGGGCCTGTCCCGTCCTGACCCCTGAAGGGGGAGGTGAGGCGAGGTGAGCCGTGCCCTGTTCCAGGGGTGAGGCGAGGTCAGGTGAGCTCTGTCCCGTCCAGCCCTGCCAGGAGCCCGCGCACGAGGAGCGGCTGCCCGAGCCCCGCTGCCCCGGGCGGCGCGGAGCCCCGCGGGCCGTGCCGGCGGCATCCCCGCGGCTGCCGTGGCCGTGCCGCGGGCTCTGCGCGAAGGCCGGTTTGGTTCCCGGGATTTCCCAGCTGCTGCTGTCTCCGGCACGGTCCTCACTGCCACCTTGGACCTCGGGCGGCACCTGTGGGAAGTGCCGTGCCTGGAACGGGGCCTTTGCTGCTGTGCGTGCAGACCAGGAAGGACAGAGAGCTGTGCTGGGCTCGTCTCCAGGTGTGGTGGGAGTTCCTTCAGGCTGTGCGCTCCTGGGTTATCGCACAACCCGCTGGCGCTGGATCAAAAGCACGTTTAGTAAAGAAAGCACGTCAGTTTTGACATCAACACGTGAACCATTCCACACACCGCGTCAAGTGTATTCGTGCCAGAGGGCAGAAGTGTTTGCTGGTGTGCTCCTCCACCATGTGCCTTGTCTTTCTTGGAACCCAAAAGGAACTTCTTAGGATAAGTTGGAGACATGTGAAAAGCTTTCTCTTTATGCAGAGCCAGTGCTACCCTGGCCAGCACCTTTCTGAACATGGGCTGTTATTTTCACTACCTTTGGCCATCTGTAATGGTCCACAACAGTTTCTGAGCCCTGTGATCCTTGACTGTACTATCTAGTTTTAGAGACTTATGCCTTTGGAGCTCCCAGACTTCTTCAACATGGAATTGAATGGGATGCTCTTGGAGCCATCAGGTTTTTCATTGCACTGGGTCACAAACTTCTTGCTGCTATGTGTACCAAAAGAGTCAAAAACCTCCTTTCTATGGCCAGGATGGGACTTCAAACTCACTGTGAAATTCAGCAAAAATGAAGGGGTTTTGTGGCCACAAAAAAAAAAAAAAAAAAAAAAAAAAATGGTGGCAGAGCTCTTAAGTGCTTCTGTTGGAAAATTTAAGTCAGAATGATGTTGCAGGATTGATTATTTCATCTCTGTTAAAAAGAAATTGATTTTTATCTCCTGACATGCAAGATACCTGTTGCAGTCTGCTTTCAGTTGCCCATAAGAGCTCTGCCTTTTGTGTTTTCTGGGGGAGGTTCTCATTGAATTGTTCATTCCAATGTTTGACTGCTGGAGAGGTTGATGCACTAGGATTTTAATTTTTGTAACTAATTTGCTGAGTCTTGTTTGAGGCTTGGTGGGTTTTAAAGTAAATATGTAGAAATTGTACCTAATTCTAAGCTGGTGTTGGTTCCAGTTTCAGGCATTTCTTTCTCAGAGCTGTTCCCATGCTCTGCCAAAATCAGTTTTCTCTGGTTTTCAGTTCAGTGCTAGTTGTGATTTCTGTGCATTCAGTGAACCTCAGTGGATAGACAGGAGTCTGTCTTTTCACTCCCTGTAAATGACAAATGTCTGCACTGTCTCATGGCAAGGGCATTTCACAACTTAAAAAACTCTGAGGCAAGGAACCACCTCCTTCAGATTGTTTTGATCCTGCCTTCTCTGAGCTCTATTTGATGTGCTCTTACGTGGTGAAGGACAGTGAAAACTTTGCTTTTCTCCATCCTAAGCCACTCCTGACTTTATTACTTGTGATGTCTCATCCAAACTGAGGAATCTTTCCTTGCTTAGGTCTTCCTTTCCAGGAGATTTTGGTGCTTTTGATCACCTCTGAGAAGAGAAGTACCAGATGTGCACGTAGAGCTCCAGATGATGGTGCTCTTGGGGACTTCTGTGGCTGCACAGTGCTGTTCTTCTGAGATCCCTGTTCCTTCTTCCCAAACTGTCAATTACAGCTGCCTGTCCTCAGCAGTGGCCTTTTTCTGACGTGGAGGGTTTAGGCTGTTTCTCAGCTGGCCTGGGCTGGGATCCCTCTCCTGCCAGCACTGGAGTGTGTCTGCAGTGTGTGTGTGTGTGTGGAGGCTGCAGCACCCACGTGTACCCCCTTTCTAAAGCTCTCTCAGCTCAGTTCTGCTCGTGCTCCACGTGCTCTGTGGTTTGCCCCATGTAAGGACTGGCTTATTTTTTAAGAGGCAACTGAATGGAAAACAGGGAAGAGTAACACTTAAACTGAGTGATTGTTGGAGAAATCACCTTATCTGAGTAGCAGGAGGCTCCTGTTGCACATACTGTGGTGTTCTCCTGGAGCATTTTCAATGAATTCAGCCTTTTCTGAGCTGTTGTGTGAGTTAGACACATCTGTGTGATCTGTGCAAGCAGGCACACACTCACCTGGTCTCTGCTCCACCTCACTTTGTATCCCTTCAAACAAAGATGTTCTTTCTGCTGTAAGAATTTTTAACTCTTCCATACCATAAACTACTAAACAGATTTGTGGGGACTTCAGTAGTTATGCCAGCTGTCCATCCAGTTGCAAGGGTTTTGTTTTTTTGGGTTTTTTTTTGTTTGAGTGATTTATATAAAGCAAGCCTGGGTAGAAGCCATCATCCTTGCTAGTATTCCAGGGTCCCACCCTTTTATGTAGACTTGTAAATATTTTCAAGATCCTTTTGATCTTGTCACTGCCTTGTTTGAGTGTTCTGCTAAATGTTGGATAAAAAGTTTATGCCAATGAGCTTTGTTCATCTTTATAAAGAATGACAGTGACAGTATCACTGCAAATGCTGCATCACACAGAATAAGGAAAAACATACTGAATTAATTAAGTAAATATTTCATAAGCTGTTTTATAGCATCTGTAAGCATTTGTGCATTTTGCAAGATAAATATTCTCAAGCTTTTTTTTTTTTTAGTTTAGTGTCTGTACTATAGAAATACATAGGAATTCAGTCGAGGTTCAGTTTTATGGCACAAGCTGGGCAGTGTAGGCACCCCCAGACTAATGAGGTGCTGATTGCAAACAAAGCACTTGCGCTGGGATTAGTTCCACTTCTGTGCTGGTACTGCCCAGTGCTGTGTCAGGGTTTGCTTTCGTGTGTTGTAACTTAATGTGAGTATCTTGGGATGGGGAAATGAGTAACATTGTTTCTGAAACAGGCTGTGATTCTTGCTGCTTATAGGTGTCTTTTCCAAAGGTGATCTGGTGCTGGTACCAGTTCTCTTTTTAAATATGGTCTTTGTTTTTTCATTGTAAGCTTCTAATGAAAATGGAATTTGTCATGTTTTTCTCTCAAAAAAAAAATTCAAAAAAGGTCAAGTGGGTGTAGTAGATGAGAATTCAGAAAGGCACAGAACGAAAGCTTTGTTTTGTAGGTTTCTGTGGTGTCAGAGATTGAGGAGACTTGTGACATCTCTCCTTGAAGTTGGTGCTAAAGCGAGTGCTGAAGGCAGTTTGGCCAGCTGTGGACAGCAGCTGTGCTGGGGCAGACTGGCAGGTAGGGCTCAAAGGAATTGATTTACCAGGAAATATTTGGAAGAACAAAAGGAGTGTGACTTGACCAATAGTTTGTGTGTAGGGAATATTATAATTCTGTGCAAACCCTGCATTCCTGGAGTTTAAGTGGCATTGGCAGAAGGAGATATTTTTAACTGTCCTAGGTGAAGCTTTTAACTATCCACAGTGGACACAGAGGAGCGCCCTTTTCCTTTCAGCAAGCAGATTTCTGTGTATTTAAACACTGGCATTCTCTCTCCTTGTAGGCTTCTTCTCCCCAGGCAAAACAAGCTCACTGAATCCAGGCTTTCCCCACAGGACATATTTTCTAAATCTTCTCTAGACTGACTTACCTATTTGCCATAAAATTGTTAAGGTCCAGGTAGTTGTTTTCAGTTTGTGTATTTAATTTGGAAGAAAGATTTATGTGTCCCAAAGCATGTCTATTATTTCCAGCTATTTCAATTAGTCTAATAAAAGCTATTACCTCATCTCACAAACCTTTATCTCATTTAGGAGCTTACATCATCACAAATAGAGCAGCACTGCTTTTACTGCTGGTGTGACAGACTCCATGTCCTGTCCTCTTGGTGCTTCCTGTCACTCCCAGTTTGTGCCTGTGTCTGGTTTATCCTGCATTCTTGTGTGTGTTTCTGTCCCTGTGTGCTGAATTTTGAAGCTGAGGAGATGACTCTGTCAAGCTGCTTTCTTACCCTTCTTCTGCAACAGGTTTGTTAGGTTTGTCCCTTCATACTGTATCTCTATAGACTGCACCTTTTGGGGGTTTTGGTTTTTGTCATTAGGATGTTTGAGAATGTTGAAAGCCATACAAAGGACAGAATGTGGCATTCAGGGTAGGTGTGTTTGATACCACAATGTGCCTTTTGCTGATAATGACTTGTAACTTTTCACATTTTAGGAGATGTGGATGGAACACCGAGCTGAGGAGCCGAACATTTTACTGAAGGCCTGTGTGTAGACCCTGATGCTCGAATGAATGAATGAAGAATGAAAATGCTCCCTGGAGTGGGTGTGTTTGGAACTGGTAGTGCTGCCCGGGTCCTGGTACCCTTGCTGAGGGCAGAAGGCTTCTCCATTGAAGCTCTTTGGGGCAAGACTGAAGAGGAAGCCAAGCAGCTGGCAGAGGAAATGAACATCTCCTTCTACACCAGTCGGACTGACGATGTCTTGCTGCATCAGGACGTGGATTTGGTTTGCATCAACATCCCTCCACCCCTGACTCGGCAAATTGCTGTGAAGGCTCTAGGTACCTTTTTATCCTTGGAGTTGGACCAAAAATCTGTAGCTTGTTGGCAGATTGAGATTTAGCCCAGCACAGTTCTGGTTGCACTAATGGCAAATGTGGTGCTAAAAATTTTGTGTGGCATTTGTGAGAAGGGTTACCTGGTTTGGTTTTTTTTAAATACTGTTAATAATTGCTTATAGATCTGCTTGAACCAATTGGGCTAAAATATTTTGCTTGGGTCAGACTGAAGTTATGGTAGGAAATTTGTAATAAAAGGCTGTATCAGAGACAATAATGAGAGGGTAAATGGCTTTATGCCCATTTAAAAAAAGCAGAAACAACAACAAAAAAAGCCAAAACAAAACAAATTGTTTAATTAACTTTAAATTTTCCCATGTTCTCTTCTAGGAAACTGAGATTTACCTGGAAGGGGCAGGTTGTTCAGCTCTGCTTTATGCTTTCTCCACAAGTAAAATCAAACTTGGAAGTTGAAAGACTTTGAAAAAATATTTGTATACACTCAGTAGAATCTTGTGAATTAGGAGCTAAGAGATGGTGTTTTAGCTGTGACCCTGGACCACTCTTGGCACATCCATGTCCATAGCAGGCTGATGTGGTCCCAGCTGGAGGAATCCTTCTACCTGACTCAGGAGGGCAGATGGTGGGGACAGCAGGAGGAATCCAGCTGGATGACAAAGAAGGGATGACACCCCAGACTGGTTGGGCAGGGAGATGGGAGCCAACTGCCCAGGCATCATGACATTTCTTAATTCCCCGGTGTGTGACTTTGTAGTGTTAATGTCCTCTCCTGGAGAGCAGCGTGGGTGTCAGTTTGCGTGTAATTCTGTAAATAACAAGGGTGATATTTTTACTTTGTTTACAGGAGATACATGAGTTAATTTTAGGACAGGTAATCTCAGACCATGTGAGCCCGGGTTGTTTGTTGTACCTCTTTTCTCTACAGTAATTTCTTTTGGAAGTAAACAAGTCCCTGCACAAACATTTGCAATGCCACTTAGATATGCAGAGTGAGATTTCAGGCTTTTTTTTCCTTTTCTTTTTTATACTGTTGGATTTGTTTGTTTACCTTGTTGGAGTACTGTCCTTTGAATTTTAACGTATTCTGATTTTTAAATATTTGAACTGTAGGTTAGAATTTATCTCTTCAAATATGCTAAAAGCTCTTTAAAGCATTTGTTAGGTAATATGCATTTCACTAGGTCTTGTGGTTCTTGATGATCAAGTGGGCTAAAAAGGAGAGGATTCACCATTCTCTGATGGATTATTAACTAAAAGGGATTAGGATTCCTTCTCTGAAGGCTGGGAACTCATAAGAGGACATTATCCAGGGGAGGAAAGGGAGGTAAAGCTGGTGCAGAAATACAGAGGTTGTATGTGTGCTTGAATGCAAGTATAGGAAGTGGAAGGCTGAAAAAGCCAGGGAGATGGATGGATGTAGCAGGAAAGGGTAACAATCACTTCCTCTGTCCTGAGATGTCCTGGTCTGTAAACTGATGCAGACATCTCAGGCCAGTGTGGTGCTGACCTTGCCTTTCAGCTCTCCAGGTTCATTGCAGTGGTATTTGCAGGTCTGCTGCCCAGTATATCATGACTTATTTAAAGCCAGTGTTGGGTGGTCTCCTGTGCCTGAATGTTCTGAAGGAACACAGAACCAGGGGAGGGCCAAAGATGGCAGCAACATTTTGTTTGGAAGTTGAGATTGATACAGTGATGATTATAATCAGAGAATTATTTGCTGTGAATTGTTTATAACAGATTGGTGTTTACTTGCCAAGAGACTGGGCTTTAGGAAATGTCAGAAGTGGTGCAGTAATAATGGTCTTGTGTGTTGTGTTTTGTTGTGCTTTGTTTGTTTGTTTTAAAGTGGTGACGGTTTTAGCACTTATTTTTGTACATTTTTCTACTTTTTTAAAAACCTGTGCTTCCATTTGGTAAAGAGGAGAAAAAAACCCAGTTTTTCTAGGTGGTGCAGTTTCCTTGTCTAAGTTTCTTGCTGACAGGCATCCATGAACAAGCCTGGGGACAAAGCAGTGACACTGGTTTGAGTTCATGAACCAGACAGAAGAGATCAAAGCCCAGGGGATAGTTCATATTAAAATCAGTGTAATCTTATGGTTTATCTCCACAACAGGCAAAGCAAGAAGCTCTCTTTAAATTTGTGCTTCTTTTGATCTCAGAGGAACTAAATAAATTTCACCAAATGTCTGTGTTGTGGTTCATGTTCCACAGTTAAATGCACCCATCATGTCTCCTGGCTGGTGAGGGCCTCAACTGAAAATTTTGCAGCTGTGGTTTAGGAAAACAATATGGTGCAAAGTTCAGGTTATTCATTACCAAAACAATAGTAACAATCCCAGGGATGTAAGCTGCACTGCCTTGAAAAACAAAAGGCATGGCCATTACCTTGTTAAAGGACCTTGTAGCCATCTCTGACTTGGCTCTGTCCTTGCTTCATGGCCATCTCTGTGAGCTTGGGGACAGCTGGAGGGATGTTCCACTGAAGGCAACAGCAGGATTATCCCAGAGCTGTTATGTGTTCCCAGGTGTCATCCTGGCACTCTGGCAGTGGCTGTGGGCTGTGCCCAGCTGTCAGTGTGCTGCACTGACTGCCATCCCAAAAAAAGGCATCAGCCACTTTTAGCTCCTCAGGTGGCTCAGCCTGGGGTTCCACAACAGGCACAGCACTGAGCGAGGGCGAGGCTGCTCAGCAGAGCAGGGGGAGCCTGCTGTGACAGGGCTGTCCCCAGGCTGGGCAGCAGGGGAGCAGCACCAGCACAGCACTGGCTGCAGAGCTGCTCCCATGGAGCCAGAGTCACTTTGGTTTTCTGCAAGCTTTGAGGGTACAGATTTGCTCAGGATGCTGTGAGCATCCCTTTGCTTTCTCTGGTGCTGCTTTACTGTAACCTGCCTTGGAGATGAGCACCGTTTAAACATGGCAGATAAACTGGACTGAAGCAGCTCTAGATACTTGTCAGGTGCTTCAGCTAGCCCTGAAAAGTACTGAACTGTGTTGTGCCTTGCCTTGGCAGCAGGACTGGGGACAGGGGACTCAGAAATGGTCCCTAAAATGGGGGGTTACCAATGGCCAGCCAGGGTGTCCACTTGGAGTTTGACCTGACCCTTTGTTCATTAAAGCTGCTGTAGACCCGTATCAATACAGGGGATTTCTCACTTGTAGTCTTCCCTGTTTCTGACTGGATTTCACTTGTGTCTGTTAGAAGCAGAAGTTCGGAGTCTCCTTAGCTATCCCCTGGCTGAGCTGTGTCACGGGAGCGCGCTGGTCCCTGGCCCACTCGGAGGGTTCTGGGAGAGCTGGCTGGGTGCAGCCGGGAGAGGGAGCACGGAGAGCGGGAGCCACGGTGGGGATGTGCCTTCTCCTCGCGTCCAGAGACCGAGGAGTGCCTGTGCTGGTACCTGCTCACTGGGAGTCAATAAACAGCTGTGCCGAGCAGGGAGCACAGTCTGCTCCTGCCTGAGGAGGAGCTTTCTGAGAGGTGCCCAGCGCCGTGTGCAGCGATTCCTGAAATTCTTGGGCAGAAACTGTGGTGTGCCATGACTGACCTTCAGGTCTGGCATCCCCAGTTAGTGTCTATAATAACCGTGTTAGGAATAACATGGTTATTACACTGAAAAATGTTTAGATTTGATCAGAACAGAGGTAAAACAGGAAAAAACAGTAAAAGTAAAGCACTGCCATGAGAAGGGGGATACCAGAAAAGCTCCAAATGTAAGAACTGGTTAAAACTTGTACTGTCATGCTCTTTTGTATTACTTAATTTCTGCTTTACAGTTAGGGAAAAAGAGGATTATTGACTGCCCCATTGATTTAGGCTGAGCACAATGTAAAGTGCATCAGGAGCAATAACTGCAGTGGGTCAGCTTGGGGGTGCAGCTCCTGTCTCTGTAATTCAGTCACCTTTTGTCTGATTGTACAAACAGGTATGTGCAGACCAAAATGATTTGCTTTCTAATTAGAAAGGGTTGTTTAAAAACAGTCCACTTACCAAAACATTATTTCTAATTCTTGTGTTCTGTACATAGAATCTGTATGTATATCTTTTATAAATATACATTTTATATATAAGTAAATTGTATGTCCCATTTGTATTAATTTAAAAAAATAAAATTGTATGGTGATAGTGCAATACAAAGTGAAAATCAAATCTCCTCTCCGCCCCCCCCCCCTTCTTCCCTGCAGGGTGCATGGCTTTTTTTTTTTTCTCCTCAGGCTATACAGGTATTCAAATAATTTGTAAACTATAGCACTCATAGAGTGTCTTGTTTAGATGTCATGTGATGCCATTTGGACATTTATCTTTCATTATGTGAAAATCCTCTCTTTATTTGGAGCCTCCCTCTGTGAGAGTTCGTCAATGGTGCAACTGAAGCATCTTGGAAACAGCATTGAGTCTTGCTGGACTTGGCATTCCTACTTTAGTTCCCAGATCTCTACCTTAGAAATTGCAGCAGGAAAGCCCAACTCTTAAAACCACCACTTCTTGACAACCTTTGGGGCATGTGAGCGTGTTTTCCTCAAGTGTGCTAAATATTGTAATTTTTTTTCCATTTGTGCTGCAGGAATAGGGAAGAACGTCCTGTGTGAGAAAGCTGCTACCTCTGTGGATGCCTTCAGGATGGTCACAGCTGCCAGGTATTACCCCAAGCTGATGAGCATCGTTGGCAACGTGCTGCGTTTCCTGCCCGCCTTCGTGAAGATGAAGCAGCTGATCGAGGAGCACTACGTGGGCAACGTCATCATCTGCGACGTGCGAGTCTACGGGGGCAGCCTGCTCAGCCACAAGTACAACTGGATCTGTGACGAGCTCATGGGAGGGGGTGGCCTGCACACCATGGGCACCTACATCATCGACCTCCTGACTCACCTCACCAGCAGGAGAGCTGAGAAGGTCCACGGTTTGCTCAAGACTTTTGTGAAGCAGAACACGGCCATCAGCGGGATCCGCCACGTCACCAGCGACGACTTCTGCGTTTTCCAGATGCTCATGAGCGACGGCGTCTGTTGCACTGTGACTCTCAACTTCAACATGCCTGGGTCATTCATCCACGAGGTCATGATTGTGGGCTCTGCCGGCCGCCTCATAGCTCGTGGGACAGACTTGTACGGGCAGAAGAACACCGCGCTCCAGGAGGAACTGCTGTTTACAGACTCTCTGCCTGTCAACAAGGGCCTGTTGGATAAGGGGTTCAAGGACATCCCGCTGCTCTACCTGAAAGGAATGGTGTACATGGTGCAAGCCCTGCGGCAGTCTTTCCAGGACCAGGAAGACCGTCGGACGTGGGATCATAAACCTGTGTCCATGGCAGCCTCTTTTGAGGATGGCTTGTACATGCAGAGTGTGGTAGAGGCCATCAAGAAATCCAGTAGGTCAGGTGAGTGGGAGACTGTGGAGGTGATGACTGAGGAACCAGATGCCAACCAAAACCTCTGTGAGGCACTTCAAAGAAATAACTTATGAACATTCCTACCTTGGAAAATACTACTTCTGGCTGTAATGTAAAAAAACCCCAGTTTTTAAGATATGTAGATTCTTATTTAATAGCCTGAGTTTCTTGGTTTTTTTAAACATGTAAAATATGTTCTCATAGGAACAGTTCTGGTTTAAATTGTTTGAAGAGTTTTAAATGTTTCTGTTTTTTGCAAACATTTAATTTTTGTCTTGGAGACTGGTAGGAAAACTTGAATTGCCCTTTGCACTTGCAGTAGCTGAAGTGAATTGTGGGATCTCTGCCATTGCATGGCTTGGAAATGGGACACAACCCCTGTTGCACAGGTTGCTGATTTAACCATGAAAGCACACAGAGCAAGATCAGGGAGTATCTGTTGTTCAGATGCCTTTTTCCTCTCTTGGGAGACTGATTTATGTTTTAATCCTCAGTTTGTAAAATTTTAGAAAAAAGTTCAGTGATGTAACAAGTCTCTGAACTCCTATAGGACAAAAAGTAGAAGGAACAGATTAAAGTTAGTAACATAAGGATCAGCCTTTTGGCTTCCTGTGTGTGGTAAATGTCTTTCAAATTCATTCAAACTGATGTTTTATTTAAATGATACTATAATTCTCTGTTGTTGGTGTCTTGGCAGGAAAATATTCAGGAAGTCTGTGATGCATTGAGCTATTCTTCCATATCTGTAGACATTATTCCTTCTATTCAAGAGGCTGCCTGCATCCAGCAGCTGTTTTTCCATAAGCTCTGTGCTTATGTCAGTTGTGTTTACTGCCTGGCAGCACCAGTGCCGTGCCTGTGGGGCCACGTTCTCATTTCTGTGACTGTTACTAAATAAATGACAAATGCCTCCCTAGGTCACGGGATTGCCACAGTGTGGTGGGTAACAAAGTAGTACAGCATGAACCTTTCAGGGACCTGAAAGTGGAAGGAAGGAGGTATTTCCTACCTCTTGCAGCTCTCTTAATGTGCTGGCTGGGTAACTGTCACACTACACACATCCTGGTAGTTGAGAGAACAGGGACTGAACTGCCATGGGTAAATGTGCTCTTGATCTCAAACACTGGCTATTAATCCTCTGGTCCAGCCCTTCTTCACGCCCTCCTGCAGCTGGTGCCCAGTGGAGAGATTTGTTGGCAGATGATGGGGAAGTTCATTCCTTCTGAGAAATGTTTCTCTCTGAGGCAGGTATGTGGAAAGGATAGTCTAATTTTACTACATTTGTTTTGTGTACTTGAAAGCTTTTTTTAAAATGTATTTCCCACTAAATTGTTAACCCTGTGTATTTATGTATATTAACATGCACGCTGCTGTTCCATAAGCTGGACCTTCCTGAAAAGTATCATGTTTTCTACAGAAATAAAAAGTTGTGTTTGTTGAGGGAATTCTCTATGCAACTGTGTGCTTGTGTTTGATTTGGTCAAGCTAAAACAATCTTAATAAAAGTGAACAGGAGACTCAGAGCTGGGACTCAGTATCTGGTGAGTCCTTCCCCGTTTATTGTAGAAATTGCCAGAAGACACCAAATAAGAAGCAAAATCCCTGCAGTATTGATGGGACCACTTTCTTTGCTTGGTGTGTAAATTCGGTATTTACCTTTGGATATTTACTTTCCAGACTCTGACAGAAACAAGTCTGCTGTGCTGTTTTAAAGGGTAGGAGCATGGCTGCTCTTGTGCTCTGCACATTCTCATCTCTACTGTGAGCTGTGTGAAGGAAGTGCACGGTTAGATTGGGTATTAGGAAAAGATTCTTCACCCAGAAGGTGACTGGGCACTGGAATAGTCTCCCCAGGGAAGTGGTTGTGGCCCCAAGCTTGCCACAGTTCAAGAAGAGTTTGGACAGTGCTCTGGGAGGCACAGGTGGGATTATTGGGGCTGTCCTGTGTGGGGCCAGGAGCTGTACTCCGTGATCCTGCCATAGGTGTGAGCATCTAATGCCTGTGGAGTCTGTGTGCTGTGTAAAATGGATGAGACAATGTGTCCTGAGCTCACCTGGCACTCACCGCCTTCATTCAGACACAAGAGCCCTGACTCTTTTCATGCCATTTTGGGGGCTGTTTCGAAGCTGTCCTTCTGGAACTGAGAACCTTCCTTTGTGCCTTTGTCACTAAGTTTGTATTGGGCAGAACAAATCAAAAGCGCAGCTCCTTCTCTGTGGGAAGAAAGAAGCACAAAACATCTCCGGCTGGTCCCAGTGAAGGAAGGAGGGTGCCGAGACTGCTGGGTGAGAAAGAGACACGACCGCAGAACTGTGCCGAGAGCTGAAAGGGGCCTCTCGTGGCTGCCTGCAGCCTGAAGCTGCGCTGCACGGCCAGAGCGGGACGGTGACCGCAGGAGCGCCCGTTTGGGCGAAGCGGATTCCAGCCGTGCAGCCTGGATTGCCCCGTGCAGTCCCTGTGTGCTTAACGCGGATGTTGTGCATTAGGGACCGGGGCCGGCCGGGGCTCAGCGTCCCCCGTGTGCTGCGGCTGCCCGGGCACAGCCGGCGGGGCCGCGGGAGCGGCGCCGGGGCCCTCGGGCCGGGCCCGCCCATCCCGGCGGAAGCGGCGGTTGCCGGGGAGCGGCGGGGCGGGGAGCCGGGCCGGGAAGCGCCGGGCCCGGAGCAGGGGCAGCGCCCACGGGGGGAGGCTGCGGGCCCCGGCACCCCGGACTGCGCTGCTGGCAGCGCCTCCCGAGCCCCGGCGAAGGCAGCCAGGAGGGGCCCCGGGTGGTGTCCGGCCCCAGCGGTGTCCGGTCCCAGCAGTGTCCGCTGTCGCTCGGCGCGGTGCCCGCTCTCAGCACGTGTCCCCAGCGGGCAGGGCCGGTGCTGATCTCCCGTGCCAGCTCGGCCCAAGGAGTTGGGGCTGCCACACGAGCTCCAGCCTCAGCACGGGGCTCGTCCGTGCATCCGAGCGGAATCCCACGCGGCCTCCGTGCCCTCATGTGCCCTTGCCCTCCTGAGAGAGGCCGGGCTGCAGCTCTGTGGCACCCACAGCAGGCTCTGCCCACCTTGCAGTGCCCAGCACGGCCCTCGTTCAGCTCCTGCCCCAGCGCTGCGGGAAATGCGGCTGACTCCATGGGCAGACTGTCCAAGCTGGCTTTATTCCTAAAGAGCTGTTGGTACACAGCAGCTCCCAGAAATGCAAATGTCAGTATCACACCTGGCTTACCTGTCCCTCTGTTTTCAGAGAGACAAAAGGAAAAATGGGTCTTTGAGACTGGCAGATGGGGAAGAGCTGGTGAGACCTGGAGAAACTCACCTGGGGAATGATATTAAAAGGAGAATATTAATCTCTCCCATAGCAGTCAGCAAGGAGAAGGCTTAGGCAGGGGCAAAAACCACTAGGTAGGTTCACAACACATTGGCCTCTGGTCCCGACTCCCAGTTTTTTGGGAGGAATGGTCACAGATCCATTGGTGCTGTTGTGGTGCAGCCCTCGGGCGAGGAACTTATCCTGATGTGACTTTCCATTTCAGCTAAAACTGTTGAGGAAGGAATCAAACATGCAAGACCAGCTGCACGGAGATTAGCCCTTTGATTTGCTGCAGATGACTTGCTCTGCTTATCACAACTTATCACAACCGTGGGATGTTTTTTCCCATGCTTTTTTTCAGAGATTGGCTCACGAAGGCAAGAAGCTGGGCTGGCATCAGCTCTGTGTGTGGTAGCAGCTTCCTGGCCAGGGACCCAGGCACAGTGAAAATGTCATCTGTGAAAAAGAGGGAATGCTTCAAAGTCAGATGCCGAGGGTTCAAGGCTGTGAAATGCACCTGCCTGAGGCTTGTCTGTTCCCATGTTTTGCAGTTACCTTAACTACAATGCCAAAAACAAGCCACAAAAGGAAGCTGTGGTTCTTACAGGCTCTGAAAGGACTCAGTTTGCCAGGGGAATAAGTAGCATTTTTACCACTTGGTCAGCTGCAGCAAAGGGCACAGAGTCGAGTTAATAGTTATTAAACTGGTTATTAAACTTGCAGAGAGAGAACTGGAGCCTGCATTGCTTGGCTCCTAGGCCAGCATAAAGCCATGGCTCTGGTGGAGAAGGGAGCAGCACACTGGGCTGAATGAGCAGTGTTGAAGTTATTGGGTTACTCCAGCAACTGCCTGTGCCTCCTGTAGCTGTGCAGGGTGGCTGGGAGCTGTGACTCTTCCCTAGGGAGTCTGCAGGCTGGCTGGGGACAGGAGCAGAGAGGAGTGGCACACAAATATCTGTTTGCCTGGACTTACTCAGCCTGCTTCTGCAGAGTGTGCCTGAATCTCGCAGGCTGTGAATGCATAAATGGTGTGTGTCTGTTGATGTTTGGGTTGCTGATGTGGTGGTAAAGCAGATGCTCTCCTGGGTGCAGGAAAGCCCCCAAGAGGGCTGACCCTGTCCCCTCATCCCTCTTCCTCTGTGTTCATAACTATGTGCTCCTGCTGTGTTTCCCTGGTGCTTGCTCTAGTGCTTCTCTGATCCTCCTGTGGATGTAAAAGTCATGTTCCTTTTGGACAAAAGGATACACAGGCAGAAAACAAACCCAGTGAAAGAAGTGACTTGTTTGGTGCAGGGGCAGTGGGTGGAACTGGCTCAGCACAGGACTGTTGGTGCTGCAGAGCTGTCCCGAGAAATGAAGCGGGTGGCAATGACAGCAGAGTCATCCTGTCCTCTGGGCAGGAGTGAGCCATGAGGGTCTCACTCGTGTCCCCGTGGTCAGCAGGAGCAGGGCAGCAGCTGGGGAAGTGTATTCCTGGAGGTCTGGCTGGGACACTGCTGCTGGGGGCTTGTGTCCCTGTAGGTCCCTACATAGGCAAGATGCTCCCTGTTGTAATGAGGTTGTCTGATCTTGCAGGAACCCATGCCAGAGGTGATGTGACTTGCAAATCAGGGAGTGGGTGTCATTTGCAAATTCCCTGCAGCAGGGCAGGGTGCAGCTGGGATGTGAAGGTACAAAAGGAGCCCTCCATCCCCCGCCTCCCCTCAGCCTGCCTTTCCTCCCCAGTCCCCCGCAATAATTGTCTGCTCTGTTACAGGTCTTGATTTCAGCCTGTCATTTTACGTGTAAATCACTGGGCTGGGACCTGAGTTCAGATCAAGATCAGATGTGCATTTCAAAGCCAGTAGCTGTTCTGGAGTGATCTCATGGTGAACGTTTTCTTTTCTTTTTTTTTTTCCTCTAGAATGAGAGAGGCTGTTCTGGCTTAGTTGATCCATTATCGAGGAGATTAAATAATACCAAGCCAGCATCCTTTTATCTCTGGCTGAGAGTCTGTGCCTGCTTTTCAGAAATAGCTTTTCCAGAGCAGCTGGGTAGAGGCTGCACATGCATGCTGGTGTGCAGCAGTCAGCACTGCTTGCATTGCCTCTGCCGTTGTGTCCAGGAGATGAATAACAGCATTTTGCTAATGGGTCTCATGTCAACAGGGGTGATTTAGCAAGGAAGACTGCAGTGCATTAGTTGCTATGAGTCAGATTCACTCAGCCTTGCACTGATCCTTTATTGGTTTATAAATTAAACTGCAGATGCTGCGTCCTGTCAGTGCTGGCATGCTGAGGATCCTGAAAGGGGTTCTTCCCGTGGAGTTGTCTCAGAAATGTTTAAATTACTGCCTCAGGAGTCAGGGAGTGCAGGTTGTAGCCCCAGCTCTTACAGCAGTGACTCCAGCCAAGCTGCCCTGGCGCCTGTCAGAATTGTGGTGTGACTCTGATGAGGCTCTTGTGGCATCTGCTGAGAGCTCATCAGCAGTCTGTGCCTGCTGTGTGGCATCCTGCATGCTCATGTTCTGAGAGGGTTTGTTGTAGGTATAAAAATGCTGTCCAGGTGAACAGTGCGGGGAAATTGATGCTGGCTGCTCCTGCCCCTTCCTGGTGGAAGGGTCTGTGCTTCTCCCATGGAGAGAAGAGAAGCAACAGGGACCCGTGTGGGCCAGGGCAGGGACTTGTGGCTTTGTGCTGCTTTGAAAAGTACTTCAGAAATGAAAAACATGTTTTTCTCTGTTCTCCCCAAGACCTGAGAAACCATCTGGGCTCTTTCCCAGAAATCCACCTCTGCCCCACATGGTCCTGGAGGGAAATGTTCTGTCTTTTTGTAAAGTGTTTGTCCTTCTGGGGTCAGCCCTGGCCTGCTCAGGGGTGGTGACAGCCCAGGTGTGTTCTCAGGGAGGATATGGCCATGTGGGGCAGGAGCTTCAGCGTCCTGTGGACAAATTGTGTTTGAACCACAGGAGCCATTTAGAGGGAACCCAGGGTCCAGGATAATTCAAATCTCAGGCTAAAAGCTGTCAGATGATGGCCACCTACCTGGTGTTTCCTGTTCACTCCTTCTCTGTCTGCATTCAGTGTTTCCATATGGGAGAACAAAGCCACAAAGGATTTTTTTTGATACTGAAGGTCCCAATATTACAGCAACTGTGGGCATTTTCAGCAC